CTATAGAGTCCATGGGATGGCAGAGAGTCAGACCCAACTGAGGGACTTTCACCTTCACTTTGAGGGAGTATAAGGAAACATCTGCAGCTTCCCCTGAGTTTTGCTGTAAACCTAAAACAGCTCCAAAAAAGGGTTTTGTTTTGCTTTTAAAGTTCTTTGAAAGAAATGGGTGGCTCTCATATCACTCACCCTATTCAAAATTTTTCAGTGGGGCTTCCCAGTGCTTTGAGAGGTAGCCAAATACCTTTCTGTGCCCGACAAGGCTCTGTGTGGTCTGACCCCGTCCCGGCTCCCCCATCCCACGTCCACCTCTCCCCACTCATCCTCTAAGCTCTGTCTCTACCACCCACTCACTCCCTCCTCTGGCTTCAGAACTGACTATCCTCCCTGCTCCCCACCACCATTCATCTCACTCCACACATCTGGCTTCAGAAAGACACGCCCTGACCAGACCACTGACAGTGTCCATCAGTCCCCACATTCCTCAACTTTTCATCTTGTCTTTCATAATTCTCATCACACTTTTAATTACTTTATTTGATAAACAGTTTAATGATCATCTCACTCATGAGACTGTAAGCAACACAAATTCTCTCCTGTTTACCAGTGAAAAGCCTAGTACCTAACAACACCTTTGGCATGGAGTAGATGTTTAATACCAATCTGCTGAATGAAAAAATTTAAGAAGTTAACTTCAGGTCTTACTGCAAAAGAATATTCTCAACCCAATCTTTAAAATCAATAATGCTTCCCTAGTCATGGATATTTCCATTAAATACATAAAAATCACAACATTCTTCCTTAAGACAGGATAACTCCCTCCCCCATTATAACCACAATCCACACATCTAGAAGGTGATAGCTGACTTCACACGGACTGATAGCACCCAAATACCTGATTGGCAGTTTTTAAAAATCATCTACCTGGTACAATGGTCTAAATCATTCACTCAGTACAATGGTTATAAGTTACCAAAGCACCCTGACAACTCTAATGGTTTAAGGATTCTCTCCAAAATCTCTAGGAAGTGATAAATAGTCTCCCTGTTGTACAGTCTATTTTTAAAGTCTGGCTACTACATCCACGATTCTTTTAAGTGTTAAAATCTTATCAGTTCAGTTCAGAAGCTCAGTCATGTCACTCTCTGTGACCCCGTGGACTACAGCATGCCAGGCTTCCCTGTCCATCACCAACTCCCAGAGCTTGCTCAAACTTAGGTCCATTGAGTCGGTGATGCCATCCAACCATCTCATTCTCTGTCGTCCCCTTCTCCTCCCGCCTTCCAATTTTTCTCACCATTAGGGTCTTTTCCAATGAGTCAGTTCTTGGCATCAGGTGGCCAAAGTGTTGGGAGTTTCAGCTTCAGCATCAGTCCTTCCAATGAATATTCAGGACTGATTTCCTTTAGGATGGACTGGGTGGATCTCCTCGCAGTCCAAGGGACTCCTCAAGCTTCTTCTCTAATACCACAGTTCAAAAGCATCAATTCTTTGGTGCTCAGCTTTCTTTATAGTCCAACTCTCACATCCATACATGACTACTGGAAAAACCATAGCTTTGACTAGACAGACCTTTGTTGGCAAAGTAATGTCTCTGCTTTTTAATATGCTGTCTAGGTTAGTCATAGTTTTTCTTCCAAGGAGCAAGCATGTTTTAATTTCATGGCTGCAGTCAGCATCTGCAGTGATTTCGGAGCCCAAAAAAATAAAGACTGTCAATTGTTTTCATTTTTTCCCCATCTATTTGCCATGAAGTGATGGGACCAGAGGCCATTCTCTTAGTCTTCTGAATGTTAAGTTTTAAAGCCAGCTTTTCCACTCTCTTCTTTCACTTTCATCAGGTGGCTCTTTAGTCCTTCTTTGCTTTCTGCCATTAGGATGGTGTCATTTGCATATCTGAGGTTATTGATATTTCTCCTGGCAATGTTTATTCCAGCTGTGCTTCATCCAGCCCAGCGTTTCTCATGATGTACTCTGCATATAAGTTAAATATGCAGGGTGACAATATACAGCCTTGATGTCCTTCTTTTGCAATTTGGAACCTGTCTGTTGTTCCATGCCCAGTTCTAACTGCTGCTTCTTGACCTGCACACAGATTTCTCAGGAGGCAGATAAGGTGGTCTGGTATTCTCATCTCTTGAAGAATTTTCCACAGTTTGTTATGATCCACACAAAGGCTTTGGCGTAGTCAATAAAACAGAAGTAGACGTTTTTCTGGACCTCTCCTGCTTTTTCGATGATCCAACGGATGTTGATAATTTGATCTCCAGATCCTCTGCCTTTTCTAAATCCAGCCTGAACATCTGAAGTTCACGGTTCACGTACTGTTGAAGCCTGGCTTGGAGAATTTTGAGCATTACTTTGCTAGCATGTGAGATGAGTGCAATTGTGTGGTAGTTTGAACATTCTTTGGCATTGCCTTTCTTTGGGATTGGAATGAAAACTCACCTTTTCAGTCCCAGACTGGCTGAGTTTTCCAAATGTGTTGGTATATTGAGTGCAGCACTTTCACAGCATCTTTTAGGATTTGAAATAGCTCAGCTGGAATTCCATCACCTCCACTAGTTTTGTTCCTGGTGATACTTCCTACGGCCCACTTGACTTTGCGTAAAATCTTATGGCTGAGCATAATGAGATGGAGGCAGTCATTTACCTTTCATATTAAATTTGGTCACTTCCCTGATCCCAAGCCTGCTGGTTAGCCAGTGCTCACAGGCTGCAGTCTGATTAAAGCATGAAGTTGAGCATTTCAACAAGGCAGCCTGTATCCAGCTTCATCTCAGGCCACCCTTCCTTCCACATACCCCACACTGCAGCCACAGTAGCTTGCCACCACAGCCCAGAACACCCACGGGTTTTGCAAAGTCCCTTTCGCTCCTTCCCCCACACGTATCTTGTAAGGACACACTGGCCACAGGAAGCCTGCAGACTCCCTCTGACACCTCGCTGGCCTCTCTCCGCCTTCACAGGACGCCATGAGGGCAGTTACCACACGCTTTGCTCTCGGTCCTCTCTCGTGGCTTCCTGCCAGTCTTCACCTACATCCTGCTCGTCTCCAAAGGACCACCAGGGAGTGTGGTACAATCAACACACATCTGTTGAATTACTCTCTCTCTACACACTGCCAGAATTCCTGAGGTATGACAGAACAACACAGAAAACCGCTCCACATCACTTACATCTATCATTATGCAAAAATTCAATGGTCTCTTTATGTCTGGGGCCAAAGAATACATTCATTTACAACTGACACACACTTCGAACAACAGCTCACTTCTGCCTCAGCAGTTCACAGAGCCATGAACTACTCCCCCGGATTCTACCATGCTCTTATGCTCTTCTCTATCTAGACATCTCTCCAGGCCTGATTCCAGACTTGCTTCTGCTAGGAGTAACTGTTCTCCAATCCATTCTCCACTTTTCTAAGTTCAGTCAGCTGCTCTGCCTCATGCCTGCTTCCTTCCCTTTTCCCCACTAAGTTCCAGGAGCCATTTTGTCCAAACTACACAGAAGCTAAGATGAAATGAGGCCTTCCCCAAACTTAAAGTCTAGTTTCTCTTAGAGAAAAGGGAAAGCAAATCCAACAGGAGCCAATCTTGCGCTGAAAAAGACAATGCGACTACAAAGTAACTTAAACCTAACAAAAGCTCCTTACTAGTCACTCTTTCAGAAGAGGACCACCCTTATTCCACCACCAGCCTCCAAGCCAGTCCTGAAAACTCTAGCAGAGCATCCCCAGTACCTACACCTGCTGATTCTCAAGCTGGAAAGTTCCCTGGGGGCAGGGGCTGGGTCTGGCTGGTCCACCACAGCATCTCTAGAAGCTGGTACTGTGGCTGGCATAAAACAGGCCCCGAATAACTACTTGCTGAATGAACCAACAAGGGATGCTTAAAAAAAACCCCCAAACTTCAGAGCTTTATCAAGCTCTGAAACTGCACTGCAGTTTCTAAGTAAGAGCAGCTCAGGGGACCAGGAGGGCTGGGGAACACAAGGGCTACAGCGACCCTGTCCCCAGATTCTGCCCATGCTGGGATCTGGGTTTGGGGATTTCCAGAGCTCCTTTCCTTAAAAGTTCTCAAGACCTTGGCTACTAGGAGGAAGTCAAGTCCAACTCCAGCAGATAAGGCAAGGGTGCTGCCAGGCTGGAACCCCACACTCTGCCAACAAATGTTAACAGAAGCAATAGGATGGAATAAAATTCCTGAATCTCAGCAAGAAAAGGGATGAAGAACAAAAAAGCAGAGAAGAGAAAAGTAAGTAGGGTGTGTGGGTAAGGACTGCAGGGGCTAGCCAGCCTTTATTGAAATGCACAGCGCCGGTGCTGAGCAATTCACAACCACTGACCCATTTAATCCTCTCACCCAGCCAGGGCTGGAAACTATTATCAATCCCTACTTAACTGACGATGAAACTCAAGTTAAAGGAGACATCACTTGCCCTGAGCACACAGCTAGGAAGGTGCAGTGCTATGGGCCGGGTCTGACTCTGGGGTGCCGCAGAGATCAACCTGCACTCACTATCTTGCCTGAGGCCTTAAAGGACTGAGAGGCGAGTCGCTCACTTAGCCATTTAACGAACAGTTAATAGCATCGATTGGGTACGAGCTAAGGCCTGGTGCCAGCCGCTGGTGGGCGGATGAAGGGACCGGGACTGAGAGGCTGTGGGGGACAGGGCGCAGGGTCCCTCAGAAAGACCCTCAAGCTCGGCACCCGGGCCCGGCGGGATGCGAGGGCGCGGCCCGGCAGAGGGAAGGCGCGGAACCTGAGGGGCGAGCGAGCCGGGCAAGCGCGCCGCGCGCGCGGGGACTCCCTCAGCCGGCCGCCCGCTTCTGCCCGGAACGGGGCCCGACGCTTCGTGCGCCACGGCCACGGCCTCGACCACCCGGCGCGGGCGAGGCGGGGGTCGGGAACGGGGGCGAGACGGGCAGCGAGACCCTGAGGCGCGGCAGCTCGGCTCGGGCGGGGGAGCTCGGGGCCGGGCGGCGTGGCGGGACTCACCTCCCGCGGCAGCCCCTCCGGACTCGTCGGCCCGGCCGGGCCGGAGGAGGTGGGGATGGACTCCGGGCCGCGGGAACTGCCGGGAGCCCGTTCCCTGGGCAACGGGACGGGAACCGCCGAGGAACAGCAGGCTCCGCCGCCGGCTAGAGCGGCAGAGCCCTATCTGGGGCCGGTGGGCGTGTCGGAAGTGACGCTAGCGGACTTCCGGTACCGTGGGCGGAGCTTCGGGTCTCTTTCCCGGGATCCCTGCGGAAGGCATGGAAGGTGCGTGACAAGGGTCAGTTTCCCCAAGCGGAAGGGTGCGAGTGGTGCGGTTTGGTCTTGGAGCTGGACCCGCGGCCGGAAGTCTCCCGAGCTGCGTGCCGATTCGTGCCTGGCCCCGGCACAGCCTCCGCAGTCGGCCTGGAAGTCAGTTTTGCCAAAATAATACAAAGGCGCGTCAGCAGATCCTGACACTGAAATTGTCGTTTTAAATTAGCACCAGCAGATCGCTTTCCCTGAAATCCCGTCAGTCAGAGTTCCCGGCCACAGTTTCCTGCTTGTAATACAAGCTGTCATTCTGCGCATGCTCCCTGAGCCTCACCGCGATCCCTTGAAATGTCATCAACAGGTGGGAAGTCGAGGCTTGAAGAGAATAAGATACTCGCTATGCTGCTGTCCTGTTCTGTGGCTGATACCTGATCTCATTTGAGTTCCTTGAAGTCAGAGCGTTGTTTTTGGTTCCTAGATATGTGCTGTGTTATGGGGCAGACAGAGGATGACTCTCACGTGCTCCTCGCCCTCGAGGAGTCCCTACTCGGTGAGGGAACTCCATAGAAGATTGTGGTACAGGCGGTAAGAGGTTTTTTCCTCCATTTAACACGTTCTAGTCAGCACCTACTATGTGCTGAGGGCTCAGCTGATAAAGAATCCGCCTGCAATGCGGGAGACCTGGGTTCGATCCCTGGGTGGGGAAGACCCCCCTGGAGAAGGGAACAGGCTACCCACTCCGGTCTTCTGACCTGGAGGATCCCATGGCCTCTATAGCCCGTGGGGTCGCAAAAAGTTGGACAGGACTGAGTGACTTTCCGTCACCATCTGCTGAAGTTGTAAGAGGGAACAGGACAGCCTTAGTCACTACTGTGGTGGAACTTAGTCTGTCAAGGAATGTATTAGGCATTAAACAAGCAAGTACACTGCATAGGTGAGTGTCATGAATGAAGCTTAATGAAGTCGAGGGTGTTCAGGTATAGAGTGCGGTGAGTCCTAACCTAACCTTGGGATCCAAGAAGACTTCTTTGTGGAAGTGACTTTCTAAAAACCTACATCGGGTCGTGTAGCTACTCAAAGCTTCCTGCTTGCTTTTCATTGACTTGAAATAAACCCAAACGTCTTATCTTGGCCTCTTAAGTTTCTGGCTGTCTTGACTGCCTCCTCAGCTACTACTCCCTCTCTCTCCTTTTCATTCTAGCCACATAGGTCTTGTTTCACACTCACCAAACTCATTCTCAGTTAGGGTCCTTGCTGTTGACTTCTCATCATTTAGGTTTCAGCCTAAATGACAGTGTCTTCGGGGTTCACTCTTAACACAAGACCCTGTTTTATTCTCTGGTGTTTATGATATAAACTAACGATCATAGGGACTTCCCTGGCGGTCCAGTGGTTAAGACTCAGTGCAGGGGACTTGGGTTCAGTCCCTGGTCTGGGAACTAAGATCCCACATGCTGCACGGTGCAGCCAAAAAGAAAAAAAAAAAACAACCTGATGATCACCTAATTGTTATCCACCTCCTCTTTGGAAAGTAAGTTCCATGAAAATGGTCCTGGTCTAGGTCCTCACTTCCTCCCCCATGTCTGGTGTAATGTAGGCACTCAGCAAATACTGGACAGTTGTATAAATAAAAAGTGAATGAAAAAAATCAATGATATTTAAAAGTGAAGTTCCTGGGTAGCCTAAGGATGGGGGCTGGTTGTCAAGGGGGAGCCACCCGTGTGATTAGAGTTGTAACTTTCAGTCCCACCCACCTCAACCACCATCTCCAACTGGGGGAGAGAGGCTGGAGTTAAATCAGCCCCAGCGGTGACTCATTTAAGCAGTCGTGCTCATGTAACGAAGCCGCCATAAAAAAACAGAAGTGAAGGGCTGTGAGAACGTTCAGGTTGGTGAGCAGGTGGGGGTGCAGGGAGAGCGCATGTGTCGGCCAGTGCATCTCTCCCATCTGGCTCTCCCTGGTAGCCTAGTAAGGAGAACGTTTTCCTGAGTTCTCTGTGAGCCACTCTAACAAGTTAATCAAACTTCAGGAGGGGGGCCTTTGGAACCTCTGATCTATAGCCTGTAGGTCAGAGGCACAGGTGGCAACCTGGACTTGAGGCTGGCATCTGAAGTGGAGGGAGAGGAGAGGAGTCTTACAGGACTGAGCCATTAACTGTGGAATCTGATGCTGACCCCCAGTAGACAGTGTCAGGGTTGAGTGCATTGCTTGGTGGTGGTGGAAAAAACACTGGAGAGGCCCTTCCGGTAACACGTACTGTGTTGGATACTTGCCATGTGCCAGGCCCTCACAGCTTTGCGTATATTATTTCATCTTCACGTCAACTCGGAAGTAGATGTAGTTTATCCTCATTTTATGGAGGGACACTTTGAGGCCACGAGAGGTTAATAACTTACCCAAGATTGCACAGGCGGCTGTAACAGCTGGGATTCAAACCCAGTCAGCCTGGTCTTTAGAATCGAGACTGCGAACTATTGTATGTCCTGGATTCCTAAGGCCTCTCTGAGAACTTGGACCTTATCCTGTGCGTCATGAGGAGCCTTTGTAGGATTGTTTTGTTTCTTTGGCTGTGTTCTTAGTTGCAGCAGGAGGGATCTTTGGTCTTCATTGCAGCATGCAGGCTCTTGATTTGTGGCATGTGGTTTCTAGCTTCCTGACCAGGGCTCGAACCTGGGCCACCAGGGAAGTCCCCGAGGGATTCTAAGTAGAGAAGGAGAGAGGGGTGGGAGGGCCAGACAGTCTGAGCGGTCTGGGTGTTGCTTTCCACAGGAGCTGGGGTCTGGGTGAGTCCCAGTGTATGGACAGCATTATTCTGAGGACGGAAAGAACTTTCTAGCAGAGAGATCTGCACATGCAGAGAACTTTTCAAGAGTTGCCAGTAGTTGATTTTAGCTGGAGATCGAGAGGCTTCAAGGTGGGGCTGCAGTGAGGCCAAGAGGGAGCCAGGTCCTGAAGGAGTTTGGACCTCCTCCTGTGTTGGCAGCATCGAGACCACCACTGTGTCTCTGGGGTCCAGTCTTGTCAGTCTTGGAGTGGCTGGCACCAGTTACCCACAGGGCTCAGGGCAAATGCCAAGGCAGGGGCATCAGAGCCTGGCAGCAGAAAGTTACAGCTCTGCCTCCATCCAGACCTTCGCAAGTGGTCAGAGTGCTCGCAGTGTGGGAGGCCTGGGTTCCATCCCTGAGTGGGGAAGAGCCCCTGGAGAAGGAAGCGGCTACCCACTCCAGAATTCTTGCCTGGAGAATTCCATGGACAGAGGAGCCTGGCAGGCTACAGACCATGAGGCCACAAAGAGTTGGACACGACTGAGTGACTTTAACATTCACATCAGAGTGCTCGGGGTGAAAGTGTGGAGCCATTAGGCTTCGAGAGAACTCAGCTTTATCTGCTGAGACTTTAAAGGTAGAAACAATTCTCTTTGTCTCGTCCCAGGAACTTTCACATTCATCCACACGTCTTCATTTCAACAACACATGTCCTATCTATGTAGTGTTTTAGATAGTCTTACTGTCGCACATCATAAGGACCATTTTCCCCCCAACTGTGATCATGAATTTCACAAAGTGATGTTTCTCTTCCTCCCTGTCAGGAAAGACTCTCGGAACTGTAACGCCAAGAAAACCTGTCTTATCTGTCAGTGCAAGAAAAATTAAGGACAATGCGGCCGACTGGCATAATTTAATCCTGAAATGGGAAACCCTCAACGATGGAGGTTTTGCTACTGCAAACAGTATTGCCAACTTGAAAATCAGTTTGTTGTAAGTACCGGCAGAACATGTTCTGTGCGCTCCTGCCTTAGTGATTGGGCAGACATTTCATGGGCGTCTTTTAGAGTGGGCCGGGTGGCCTCCAGCAACATGGATAAATAAAGCGAACAAGCAACTGATAAAACAATGCACACAGGTATGAAATGTACATGCGTTTTAAAAACAAAATTATGCTACAAATTGTTCGTGGTTACATCTGCATGTCAAGTGATCAAAGTGGATTGGGAGGAGAGAGACTCAGGCGCTGGTACCTTCGAGGAGGACTGAGTGGGATGGTAGGGCAGGTACCACTTCATCTCCAGAGTGCTGTGTTTTATTTCTGCAGTGTTGTGACTATCACTAGAAAATACATAGATTTGGTCTTTTTGTCCCTGTTCTTGGCACATGGCTCTTAAAACCCTTATGATTTCCTTAGGGACCCGAGCTGTGGAAGACTCTTTAGTTATAGTAATATTTGTTCTTTGGTCCTCCAGTTCCTGAATTAGCTCCAGAATGATTAAGGAGTGCCCTGTGGTCATCACAGGCCCCTTTCTAAGACGTCCGAGCCTGTGTTAATAACGGGGCCTTTGGAAAACGCCTCAGGAGGGGGACACCAGCCGTGCGATTGGAGTTGGCACTGTCAGAGCTGCCCCCCCACCTGCACTCTGGGGAGGTTGAGTTAATCAGTGACGGCCAAGCATTTAATCAATTGTGGCTTCATAAGGAAGCCTCCATAAAAACCCAGGACAGGGTTTGGGTAGCTTCTAGGCTGGGGACCTGAACGCTTCCCTGTGCCCTTACCCCAGATGCCGCAGGGAGAGAAGCCCCTGGGCTTGAGACCCTCCCAGACCTTGCCCTGGGTGTCTCCCTATGGTGACCAGGAGTCAGACGTGGAGCGGGGTGCTCAGAGCTCCCCATGCTGGAGTGTGATTTCCCTTAGCAAGTTCTTTTAAAAATATTATGAAGAAACTGTTGGCAGTTGCCAGTTCTGATTGAAAGATTTGCTTTATTATTCTTTGCACTTCCCGTATATATGGTTTTAGTTTGTTTTTTTTGTTTTTGTTTTGTTTTTTTTTTTTAATCGGCCTGGCTTACGCAAGGCCTCAAAAAAATTAATCAAGACTCAAGCTTGTTCCTACCCATGGAAATCTTTTAGTAAAAGGCGAAAGATTTAAATGACCTGAAGAGAAACATGAGTGTGGATCTATATATAATAGTTTTAATTTTTCAAAGCTGCATATCTTTGTCTCCTGGCCGGAGTGTAGAGTCTTAACTTCTTGGACTGGACCCCTGGCCCTTGCCAACTCTCCCAAGCATATCAGACATGTCAGCCCTCTGGTCCCTTCTCCCGCTCAGCAGGTTCCATGAAGCAGTTCTTACCTGACTACATAAGGTGCTCTCTGAAGTTGGAGGTGGGAGGCGGGATCCATTGGGAGTTTGGGACTGGTACATACACGCACACTACTGTAAACAAAATAGATAACTAATAAGGACCTACTGTGTAGCTCAGGGAACTCTCTGTAATACTCTGTAGTGGCCTAGATGGGAAAGGAATCTAAGAAAAGCGTGGCTCTTTGTACATGTGTGGCTGATTCACTTGCTGTGCAGTGGAAACTACCACAGCATTGTAAATCAAGGATGCGCCAAAAATTTTTTTTAAAACTTTTTGGACTACAAAATGAACAACAACGAGAAGATCTTCTCTGATAATCTAGTGTTTCATTTTTTCATTTAAATGTTGACTGTGGAGCCACTAGATTAATTTCAGGTGCCGTGGGTCGCAGCTTTCCATTTACAAAACTCGTTCCTAGCTGGCGGGCTCTGAGGAAATGACTGTGTCTTGCCCACTGAGGACGCCACAGGGCTGGATTGAACTGACTTTGTCCTAGGGCAGACTCGAGCAGCAGATGGGCATATTCCTCGTATACGTAAATAACATGTAAACATGATGATGTGAAATGACACCAGTGGAAACAGTCGACGATGACGCGTGTACACGGATATTGAGTTTTCTAAGGTTCATGCTAACGAAGGGAGGCGACCTCACGGCGTGTGTTCTGTTCCTGCTTTTCCACCTGGTCCAGGAGCAGAGACAAGATAGAATTAGAGAGCAGCGGCCTGGCTGCCGACGACCCTGCAGAAAAGGAGCACCCGGAATACAGCAGGGAGCTGGAGGCACTATGCGAGGAGCTGCAGGCCACCCTGGAAGGCTTGGTAAGGGGCCGCCCCCTCCCCGGGGCCGGGTGTGCGCAAGCGCCCGGCGGCATCCCACACTGCCCTTGGCCAGGATTCTCTCCCTCCCCCGCCTCCCCGCTGGTCTCTCGCTCTGCCTGCCCCACAAACCTTGTTTCCCAGATGCTGTCCTGACCTTCCTTCTGGTCGGCGTGTCCCAGGGGCTCCCGGGCCCCACAGGAAGCGGATTAGGCCTGGGGGCCTCTTGCCTCTATCCGGAGGCCGGCGGAGGCGAGTGGGTGTAACTGCGTTCCAGCAGAGCTCTATTTACGGACCCTGAACTGTGAATTTCATGTGACTTTCATGTGTCACATGAAATATTCTGCTTTTGATTTTTTTTTTCAACCACTTAAAAATGTAAAACCCATTCTAAGCTCAAGGGATGCACAAAAATAGACCGAGCTGGATCTGGCCTGAGAGCCCTGATCTCATCCATAAGGGATGCTCTGAAGTGTTTTTAACTCAAGTCTGGATGTTGGTACCTACCACACTAGCCATCATGTGGATGAAACACCTCATCTCAGCCAGACACAGGAATAGGGTTTTACACATCTTAAACACAGGTAGCTAAAGCTTCTCCACATAGAGCGTCTATATATTCTAACATTTCTTGATGTAAGTGTTTCTAATGCTTTACATGCTTCCTTATCTTTTTAAACAGCATATGTCGAGTATCACTGTATTTCTTCAAGATACCACTTGTTCAAAGTTAGGATTCCACCTATTAAAAGGCAGACTATAGGTTTATACATTTTTCAGAAAAGAAGCACATCCATTATAAGGTGTAATGGTTTCTGAAGCATGAAAATGAGAAAAATAAATAGGGCACTGAGGACATCCTGGTGGTTTCGCGTTTACTTTGATCGAAGGGCACTACTGTCTTCAGGATGTGTTGCCGGGCAGGGGCTGTTGGTCTCTAGGTAAACGATAAGGGCTTTGTAATTGTCCTGTTGTGACACCGCCTTCGGGCTGTGCTGAGAAACACTTGCCCGCCTGCCCAACCCCTGGCACGTGGTGCTCGAGCAGAAACAGAACAGGTCCGTGTCATCATCACTACATTCTAAGCCCACTCCTAGGAAGGCTGGAGGAAAAAGTGTCTGGGCCTGGTGTTTTCTTTGTCATATCTCCACGTTCACTGCGGCGTCTCCAGTAATTGGGTAATTGACCTCGGCTTCTGGACCTAGGCTTCTTGAATTAACACAGGCAGAGTAATCAGTCAGATTTCCAGAAAAATCCAATTGAAAACTGACCACGTGTATTTTTTTCCCCACATTAACCCATTTGACTATGGCAAGTGGTTTTGTTTGGACAAAACACCAGTGCACACGTTGCTTGGAAGAGAAAAAACTGGAGGGCTAAGTTCCTACACTGAATGTTTATTTCCTGGTCACACTTAGCTTTTAATTGTCAGTTCTTATTTCGTTGAAGTCCAGCTGGTTTCCAACGCTGTGTTCCTTTGTGCTCTAAAGCAAAGTGGTTCAGTTATACATATGTACACATCCTCTCTCACATCCTTTCCCATGATGGTCTGTTATGGTATTTAGAATACAGTTCCCTGTGTGTATTGAAATGCTTTACACAAAGTTATGCACATGCAGCCGGGCAGTTGTCTGTTGTTTCGACGTGGCAACACTCACACCAGAACATCATCATCCGTGGCCTACTGGCTCCGTCTCCGCACAAAACATCTCACAGAATCCCCCAGCTGGATCAGAACGAGAAACACTTCAGACACATGCTAACGTGACTTTTAACGCGATGTAAAAACCCTGGGAAGGATTTTGTTTCTAAATGCCATTTGGCTTTCTTTAGCAGATACCTCATTTATAGACTTCCCTGGCGGCTCAGATGGTAAAGCGTCTGCCTACAATGCGGGAGACCCGGGTTCAGTCCCTGGGTCAGGAAGATCCCCTGGAGAAGGAAATGGCAACCCACTCCAGTATTCTTGCCCGGAGAATCTCATGGACGGAGGAACCTGGTGGGCTACAGTCCATGGGGTCGCAAGGAGTCGGAGACGACTGAGCAACTTCACTTTCACATATGCACACCACGCTGGGGAAGGAGGGCTTGGCAGGAACCAGGGGAAGAGGCTGTTCGCCTCCCGTTTCAGGCAAGTCAGGAGTGACTGGTTTTGCTCGTGTGGTCCCAGTTCTCCCTGTTCTCGCCTGGCTGGCTGGTGCCACGGGAGCCCCTTCCTCAGCCCCGCTGACTGCGCAGAGGAGGGGCAGCCTGGGAGGGTGTCAGACCTGAGTCAAGGTCCAGAAAACCCAGCCTGATGGGCTGAGCAGGTGACATGTCCTGTCCCCTGCCCCTCCACCCACAGCACGTGGCCTGGCAGGGCAGCCGAAAGTGGCCGCTAGTTTTGACCGCATGCCCCACAGTGGCCCTAGTTCCCAAGGCCTTCCTTCAGACAAAGCCTGGGCTGACCATGGGTGCTAGTTGTCAGGCCCCAAAGTTCTGTGCCCCAGTGGATTGATTCTGTTTTAAATGGAATAAGTGGTTCGAGGGACGTCCCTGGTGCCGCAGTGGTTAGGACTCAAGTTTTCACTGCTGTGGGTTGAATCCCTGGTTGGGGAGCTAAGATCCTGCAAGCTGCATAGCATGGCCAAAAAGAAATAAAGTAGTTTGAGAATTAGTTCTCACTCAGTTTTAAAACCAAAGTTGATGTTAGGAGGATATTGATGTCACTATTTCTATTTTCTTCCAGCCTTTGGAGAGAATGGTTTCCCGGGCTTGACTTGGCCTTGCATCTGACCTTGGTGGGGGGTGGAGGTGTCCGTGTCGGTCAGCTGGATGAACATTTCGCAGTGAGGGCTCTTGCCTTTAGGAGGGACATGGAGCCACGAGCCTGTCACTTCAGGGCTGCGCACGTGTGACTTTGATGTCGTTTCTGATGAACGAGCCCCTGGGTGGAGCTGGCCCCTCCGGCCCAGGCTCAAGTCTCCCGGGTTCCCTTTGCTGTCCTGGGGTTGTCAGCTCTTCTTAGCATTAGGTGGCAGCGGGGAGCTGCCGCAGGACGCAGAGGGCAGGGCTGGGGATTGGGTGTCCTTCCCAGGCTCAGCAACCTTGAGAATTTTCCCAGCTGTCGTCCGGAAATGATGAGTCCTACCCCCTGGGGTTGGGCCAAATGAAATATCGAACCTGGAAAGATTTGGGAACAGAGTCTGGTCCTTTAAAAATTCATGTTAGCTAAATTTAGTGCAGTCGCTTCAGAGGTAGTTGGAGAGCGCTTGAAGGACCAAGTGTAGGGAATTAAGATTCTGACGACTGATAGAGCTTTCCTGACATCCCACTGTGTATATAAAGCTAGCTCCACACTTGGGACCTAGAGTTGTGGTCTAGTAAACCTGCGATGGGGCTTCCCAGGTGGCCTTAGTGGTAAAGAACCTGCCCGCCAATGCAGGAGACATGAGCGACACAGGTTCGACCCCTGAGTTAGAAAGATCCCCTGGAGGGGCGCATGGCAACCCACTCCAGTGTTCTTGCCTGGAGAATCCCACGGACAGAGGAGCCTGGTGGGCTACAGTCCGTGGGGTCACACAGAGTTGGACGCGACTGGAGTGACTTAACACGCACGCACACAGACCTGTGCTGCTGAAATCCGAAAGTTTGGTCCCTGCACGCGTGTGTCTTACTTCACAAACGCTGACGTAGCTCCGACCAGGCCCCCGTGTCAGCAGGCACTCTGTCGGCCGGTCCCGACAGCAGGCTCCTGACGTGCACCGAGGCACCGTCAGCGCCTCGTGGCCGCTGCCTCCTCCCTGTGTGCTGGGCTGCCTTCCGTTTTTACAGTTTTATCAACAAGGAAACCAAGCCTCAGAGGTTTCAGTGAACTTGAAACCAAGCAGAACGACGGAAGCCTTTCTGTGCCACCTTTCTGGTTTGTAGGCAAGAACCCAGTCTCCAGACCTGCCTGGCGGTCCAGTGGCTGAGACTCCGCGCTCCCCGTGCAGGGGACCCGGACTGGGGACTAGATCCCACATGCCAAAGCTGCAGATCCCATGTGCTGCAGAGAAGATCAGAGATCCCAAGTGCCGCAGCTAAAACCTGGCACAGCTAGATAAATAAATACGGGGCTTCCCTAGTGGCTCAGTGGTAAACAGTCCGCCTGCCAAGGCAGGAGACACGGGTTCGATTCCCTCATCTGGGAAGATCCCACATGCTGCCGAGCAGCTAAGCCTGTGAGCCACAACTACCGAGCCTCCGCCCTAGAGCCCACGCTTGGCAACAAGAGCAGCCCCTGCAGTGAGCAGCCCGAGCACCCGCGCGCTGCAACTAGAGAACAGCCCGCACCGCAGCAAAGACCCAGCACCGCCAAAAATCATTACATACGATTGTAGTGAATAAAGAAAAAAAAAGACCCAAGCCTCCCTGACCTTCCCTGAGTTCCAAATGGTGGATTCCAGCAGTTGCTAATTCAGAGAAGAGCAATCAAGAAACTACTTGAGGCAGGATTAAAGGAACCGGAGAAGCTCATCAAGATAAGACCAGACCACCTGAGCCCAGGCCCTACACACACTCTGATCTTATTGGCAACCCCACCCCTTGAACCGTGGCTGTAAAACTCCTCGTCAAATACTCCTGGGCTGCAGACACAGTTTTTCAGGGCAAGAGGCTGCCATGTCCCCCTTTGCCTGGCAAAGCAGTAACGCTATTCTTTTCTACCTCACCCAAAACTCTATCCAAGACTTGATTCAGCACTGTTGCACAGAGGCTGAGTTTTGGGCATCAAACTCAAAGGCAGTTCCCCAGAGTCAGAGTGAGCTCATTTAATGCCTCTTCTGTCTCTCATTCTGTGAAAGGGAGAGCCTGCCTTTCCACCCGTCTAGGCCTCTGGTGCCAAAAAATGAGTGATGTTCCGAGAGCTCAGTGACGTGGGACTCAGCAAGCTTCCTCTTCTCCAGCACTGGAGAGCCAGCGTTTATTACTGAAGTAATCCAAACTTGTAAAATCGAAGTAACCGTTTACCTCCGTCTCCCAGGAAAGTTGCTGCACACGGAGTGAATGGTGTTGAATTATTGGACTTACGTCTCAACGTCTCAACAGACTTACATTTCTTAGCCTTGACATCTTAACAGTTACTGAATCTAAGACTGAATTTCAAATAATATTCTCATAGTCTAAGTTAATATCTTTTTCAGACCAAAATACAGATGAAGATGGAAAAGCTGTCTTCAACCACCAAGGGCGTTTGTGAACTAGAAGATTACCATTATGGGGATGAGAGAAAACGCCCCCCCCTCTTCCACACGTGGCCCACAGCCCATTTTTGTAAGTAGTTCTTTCTGCCTTATTTTCAAGGGTAGATCATGAGAGCATTTCATGCCATTTAGATCTAGCGCTCTAAAGCTGACAGACTTTGATTGAATTGACAAAACTCAATTCAGGAGGATCCGTTGGGAGGGAGGGAGATGGAGGCATCTTAGATGAGCGTTTCTTCTTGGCTTTAATTACCTACTAACAAGCAAAGACTCATTGGAAAAGACGCTGATGCTGGGGGAGATTGAGGGCAGGAGGAGAAGGAGAGAACAGAGAATGAGATGGTTGGATGGCATCACCGACTCGATGGACATGAGTTTGAGCAAGTTCCAGGAGATGGTGAAGGGAAGCCTGGCATGCTGCAGTTCATGGGGTCACAGAGTCAGATACGTCTTAGCGACTGAACAACAATCAGCAGAGAATATTAAACATCATTAGAGACCCATGAAGCAAGCTGCCAGTAGTCCTTTAAAGCCAATGGTTAGAATGAACTTAGCCTCCTCAGCAGAGGTAGAATTTTTTTTTTTTTTTTTGAAAGCTAGGTTTTCACTTTTTGTTTAGCTTTGTTTAAAAAGTAAGTGGGGGTCACTTTAGCCTGCCCCATGGAGAAAGGCTGCTGGGAAAACAAACTCCATTACTTAAGTAAGTTGTGCAGTAAGGACTGTTTTTAGCTTTATTAGTTTAAAAGAAGGGCTAAACTATTTAATGTTGCTTTGAGACCTCACTTCTAAATAAGGGAGAAAAGGGTAGAATCACCTAATGTAAGGTGTTCATTGAATATTGTCAGTTTGAGGTGAATGTGCTCTGTATAGTGACTGTAGGCGCCTAAGAACTGCGTAGAAAAGGTTACAGCTGCTTTTTAATTCCGTGACACTCTCTTCCCTTGTTATCTGACCCTAACCTACACTGGCCGAAGTCCATCTTCCTCCCAGTTCTGTTGCTGACTCTGGCTTTTAACGCACAGCTTTTCAAAGTCCCTGGTGGTCCAGTGGTCAGGACTTGGTGCTTCCACTGCAGAGGGCATGGGTTCGATCCCTGGTCCGGGAACTAAGATCCCATAAGCAGTGCAGCAAGGCCAAAAAAACTAAAACAGTGGCGGGTCATCCCAGCCTCGGGCTCCCCGCAGCAAATGCCGCTGTTCGAGGGGGCTCGCGTTCCTTGCAGATGAGGTCTCCCGCAAGCTCGCCGACATGTACGGCCAGGAGCTCCGCCTGAAGCGCATGGTGGTGGAGCAGCTGGCACATGCAACCGACCGTGACCTCGCCCTCAGCTACCTGTCCATGTGGCTGCACCAGCCTTACCTGGAGGGCAGCTGCAGGCTGCTTCTGGAGAGCATGCTGCTGGAGACGGGGCACCGCACGCTGTGACCTCCCCCACCCCCCGGCGGACACTTTCGGGGGTCGCTGGGCGGCTCCCCGGGACCACGCCCCCGGCTGCACCCCGCAATCAGGCCGTGCTTGGTCCTCCCACCCGCGCTCTGCGGCCTCTCCAGCCACACCGACTTCTGCCGCCTGCTGTCCCCTTGCCTGCACCTGCTGTGAATGTGGCATCTGTGAAGACTTCTGCATGAAATAAATGAGTGCCTCAACTAAATGAGTGGTCTGGTTTTTGTCAATTAGGTCTGTTTTACATAGATTCCACTTGTGTAGGAAATCCCTGGTTTAATATTTGTATTGTTAAAATTGGGGGCTGTATTAGCTTTGTAACTACAACTAAAATAGGTAGCACTAGTGGTTAAGAATCTGCCTGCCAAAGCAAGAAATGTAAGAGATTTGGGTTCGATCCCTGGGCTGGGAAGATCCCCTGGAGAAGGAAATGGCTACCCACTCCAGTATTCTTGCCTGAAAAGTTCCATGGACAAGAGGATCCTGGTGGGCTACAGTCCATGGGGTCACAAAGAGCTGGACACGACTGAGCGCAGCTTAGCTTTGTAATTACAAGTAGTGTCTAGAATACCTTAGAGGTCACTGAGTAAAGATCAGCATCATGCAGATGAAAACTAGCTACCAAAAAATTGCTCTGTCTTTGTACTTAGGCCACGACTGGCCATGTGAAGTGTCTTCCATGTCCTTCTGGTTTAAATCCTATAGTTTGGCAATATTTGCAACCAGATATTGGGGGTCCATTCTGCCATTGCTCCCTCAGAAACAGAAGTCTGAGAAACTTCATGCTATGTGATACGGGATGTAGTCTCATGACACTGAAGTCCTAGCAGCTCAGGAACAAGTGCTTCCCAGGCAAAGAAAGAAAATATTCCAAAAATAAAAGACTTTATGTATGATGTGGGTGTATTTGGAGCAAATCTCACTGTAAGTTGGTATGTGCAAAGCATTCCAAAGCAGCATTTCTTAGAACTTATTGTTCCTCTCCTTAGCAGTATTTATTAAATCCCAACCATCATAATAGTAGTCCGTCAGATGTCCTGCAGCCTGGAAACGGCCTGGCTGGCGTTCAACAGAAGGGGCATCCTGCCCCCAGGGCTCCCTGCTGCTGTCCCAAGCCAGGTGGGCCTGCCCCCAGGGCTCCCTGCTGCTGTCCCAAGCCAGGTGGGCTGGACCAGCCCTCCTTGGAGGCATGGATCAGGTTTTAGGATTGGGATGGGGTGTGGTACTTAAAGAGTAAATGTTCTTCAGGGGAGACACTGAAGAACTGCTCAGCCTTTGGAGACAGACATTTCCTGTCTTAACACCTCATCCACGGACACCCTGGTTGCCCGGGAGAACTAATGGGAATGAATGATGCTGCTGATGCTGAAGCCCAGCCTCCATGCACCGGCACGGAACTGAATCTTGGAGACAATTTGGTGTGAAGTAGGAAAGAATTGCTTTGCCAGGTGAAGGGGGCCACGTTGGGCTAATGCCCTCAAAACTGTGTATCCTGGGCTTCCATGGTGGCTCAGTGAAGAATCTGCCTGCCAATGCAGGAGACACAGGTTCAATACCTGAGCCAGGAAGATCCCACATGGCAAGGGCGATGAAACGCTGTGTTGCAGCTACTGAGCCCGCGCCCCGCAACAAGAGAACTCACAGCAGTGAAAGCCCAGGCACTGTGACTAGAGTAGTCCCCACTCACAGCAGCTAGAGCAAGGCCTGCACAGCAACGAAGACCCAGTACAGCCAAATATAAATAACCAAAAAACAGCTGTGTGTCCCACCTGGGGTGAGGGCGAGGCACTGTGTGGTCTTACAGTCGAGGGGGCGGGCTTTCTGATTAGGAGCAGGGTGCCCACAGGGCCTGCATTCTTTAAAGCCAGAGGTCATCTGGAGTCAGGGGCTGACCTTCTCTCTGGAGAAGGTCTCATCGAGTAGTTAACACGTTCCATTTGTTGGGACACCTACTCAACAGAAGAGCTCAAAGATACTGTTCTGTGTATCCTGAGTATTCATTGGAAGGACTGGCACTGAAGCGTCAATACTTTGGCCATCTGATGGGAAGAACCGACTCTTTAGAAAGATTCTGATGCTGGTCAAGACTGAAGGCAGAAGAAGGGGACGACAGAGGATGAGATGGTTGGATGGCATCACCAACTCAATGGACATGACTTTGGGTAAGCTCCGGGCTTGGTAATAGGAAAGCCTGGCCTGCTGCAGTTCATGGAGTGCAGAGTCGACACGACTGAGCAACTGAACACTGGAGGAGGAACCGTGACCCTGCCCCAAGGCTGCACCATTTCTCAGCTGCTCCCCCCTTGTCTCTCTGTGCCCTCCCTTCCCTGGTTCAGTTCGGTTCAGTCCCTCAGTCCAACTTCCCTGATTAGCGACTGTTTGGACCTACCCTTTGGAACTCAGAGGCTTCCCAGGTGGTGCAGTGGTGAAGAATCTGCCTGCCAATCCGGGAGACACAAGAGACACAGGTTTGATCCCTTGGTCAGGAAGATCCCCTGGAAGAGGGCATGGCAACCGACTCCCTGAGAATAAAGCCCACTCCTCCACAGCACAGGGAGGGTGCAGCCCCCAGCCCCAGCCCCAGCCCCAGCCGTCCAGGGTCCTTCCTGATGGTGTCGGCCAGTGCGGGGAAGGACAGCTGTGCCCTTTGGATGCTCTCATCTGAGTGTGGGCAAATGGCCCTCTCTTTCTCCCCAGGATAGAGCCGAGGAAAGCATCCCAAGAAGAGACGAGACCTCGCTTGGGAAGTGGCTTTACAGGCAGGACATCGCGGGGCTGTGGCTCCCGTCCCGTGCATCTCTCTTCTCCACCAAGCGTCAGCACAGACAACATGCTTCCCTACTTCCCAATAAAATGCTGCCCAGAAAGCAAGCTTGCCTATTTATTTACTGAACCCGGAAGCAGCTTCTCGTGTGGACCAAGTCTGGTATAAAGCAGAACATCGCCGAGGAGAAAGGGGACATAGTTTTCTGTGACCGGGGGGCAGGGGAGACAACCCAGAACCAGGGCAGCGGTGTCACCTGCAACAGTTGGCAGAGGAGCCCAGGGTTAGATGTGTCGGAGGGTGCATCACCAGGTAACGCATCTGCCATCATCACAACAAGCAAGAGGTAGAAAAAGGTAGACAGTGAGGTAGAAAGACGTTATTCTTTATAAATAAAATGTTCATTTGTGTCAGTATTCACATTAGAAAAATACACACTCGAGACAGACCTTCTCTGGGTAAAATCCACACAGATCTAGGGCTGCGGCTCTGACCCCATCTCACTGAGAGGGCTGCGTCTCCAAGCTTCCAGAGGAGCCATTCCAGGGGCCCAGCTGCAGGGCAGGACCCTCCGCGTCCGTCACTGTGACAACATCCCCCTCCCCAGGCGCTACGGAACCCGGATGGAACAAGAGAAGCCCGTTGGAGTCTGAACAACCGTCTGCTCCCCTTCCTGATATGACAGCGTGGGGCATCCGTCACTGAGTTCAAAAGCCACGACCTCCCCAACGGCGGCGCGGGCTCCAGCCCCTGGTCTGCGTGACTCTCCGGGCAACTGGTCCCAGCCCCGGTGGCCTGCAGGGCCCACTCCAGACTCGGCATCTGCCCTGGCTGGGCTGAGGCCCCGGCTCAGACACGGTGCTGTGCGCACAGTCGGCTGGCACGGCGTCCATGGACCACGCTTTCCTGGGCAGAGGGGCAGGGGCCTCCGGAGGCTGGGCCTCGCTGGGGCTGGACTTGGGGCTGCTCGGGTGGGAGCCACACGCCTCGTGGAAACTTCCCGCCTCTGCGGTTCCAGGCTGGAGACTGAGGTGCTGCAGAGAGCCAGGCTCCCCAGGCCAGCCCCAGCGTCCGGACACTCTCCCCAGGGAACGCCGCCACCTGGTGCTGGGCTCGTGTCCCCGGTGCCCCTAAGGGTTGGGGGAGCCCCGGCCCAGGGCACCCTGGCGCGGGGCAGTGGGGTCTGCAGGCCCACTGTGAGCTGCCCAACCAGCCAGTGCTGCCGGCCGCCGGCCCGCCTGTGCCACACTGCTGTCACGCTCAGGAGCCGGCATCGCGGGGCTTTCCTCGGGGCACAGAGAGGCGCCCCTATTCACTCCAGGGGCAAAACCTAAATGGTTCGGAAAAACAGTCAGTTGTGTACTGTTGTCGGTCACATATCACTATCCAAACCAAGCTAGTCCAAAGTAACTTTCCTGCCCCCGAAACAAAAACATAAACCCTCCTTGTTACTTGGCAGCTCCCAGGAATGGATGAACTATCAGGAAACTCAGACCTGTGAGGCGAGGGGAGCTGTGTTCCAAACATGTATCAGAGTCCTCATTGTTCTCAGTGAATAAACCTGCCCTCCTGTCTGGAAGAATTAAGTCCTAAGTTCGGAAGTGGAGGAGGCCTCTTTATATTAGATCAGTTGGAAGGACTGATGCTGAAGCTGAAACTCCAATACTTTGGCCACCTCATGCAAAGGGTTGACTCATTGGAAAAGACCCTAATGCTGGGAGGGATTGGGGGCAGGAGGGGAAGGGGCCGACAGAGGATGAGATGGCTTCACCGACTCGATGGACATGAGTTTGAGTAAACTCCGGGAGTTGCTGATGGACAGGGAGGCCTGGCGTGCTGCGATTCATGGAGCCGTAGAGTCAGACACGAGTGAGCAACTGAAGTGACTGACTGACTGAAGGATCAGGTAAGGTTATCAGGAAGTTGTGATAACATTTTGGAAAGTTACATAATCATTCTGAGTATGCCTGCAATATATTCCAGGTGTCTCATGGATCTGTTCTGGCTAGCACCAAAATAGAAGCTAGAACATGCCTTGTTTTCAAACGGTAACTCGCAGCTGGCACTGACAGCCAAAGGGCTTTCATGACGCCAAGCCACGGGCTCATGTGTCCTGGGACCTGTCCTTGCTCTTGGGTCTCCCCAGCTCCTCAGGGCCCTCCCAGGCACAACCCACCCAGCACCACAAGGCAGCTCTTCATTCCAATAAAGGGCTCAAGAAAACCCCAAAGACCCAAGACTCCTGGGGAATAAACACTGGGAGGCTGGGGTAAAACTCTTAAGAATCCAGAGGGGACTCTGAAACGCAGCCACCGGCGCACCGTCCCCACCCAGCAGCAGGTCTCTGAGCCCCAGGGCGCACACTGCGAGGGGCGTCTTACCTGCACCAGCCGCTGGGGCACACGGGGCCAGCCTCTGCAGGCCCCCGTCATCAGCAGGACACT